CTTCACCAGTGAGTTTTTCATGTACGTACTAATTTAAGCTGATGGCTGACTAGCAAGGGTAGCAATAAGTGGCTGTGGGTCGTGTTCTCTGGTGACTTGATAACCAATTTTCCTAAAGTTGCATTCTCCCCATTGTTTACTAATAAGTATTTCTCTTTTCCTGGCATAGTAACATCATCAGAAGACTATTTTGAATTTTACTTCTTTGAACTTTTATTAACTGCGTCATGTTGGTCCAATAATTTGTGTGGGCCCTAAAATGATAACAACAAATAAATGAATTTATATTTATTAACAAAAGATTGCATACAGATCAGAAAGGGCAAGGGCTGATTATACTGTATTATATGAAGGAGTTTGTGTGTATGTTTGTTTTAACAAATTGGGCTTAGTGCAAATGTCCAGTGTTTTTGGGTTGCAGACATTTTCTTGTGATCCTGTCTTATAACCTAAGCAGTCATTTGAAAAGCACTGAAAATATAATTGGCGTTGATTAAAATTTAGAATGTCTTTTCTAAAAGTCATCCTTGTGTCTATGATATTATAATATGTCTATGTATCCAGAATTTTGTGTTTATAATAATTAACTAGAAATCACTTCCCTTATGCAAGTTAGAGACTCTCAGAAGGTTATTAATTTTACTAACGGATTAAAAGGACCATGTCTAAAATTGCCTTATAGGAGGGAAGATTAACATCATGTATTTGTAAGTTATGGGCTTCAGTTTGACGAAAAATAAAACCAAGTAATAGAGATAAAAGTACTAATTTATTCTAATGAATATATGTAAGACTTTTTTCCTTTAGTTGAATGTGTTTATATTTTTAAGTATAAATAAGTAAACTTGTTGGAGCAGGGCTCTTGAATCATTATGATTACTGAGAAGAGTGGCTTGAATTAGTGTAATCACTGGCTTAATTCACGTGGGCTTTGTATAATTTAAAAGCAGAGCCCCTTTCTAGTTTGCCATTCCCCAGAAAAATAGTATTCAGCTTCTCCCTGAGTGGTCATGGGCTGCCCAGCCCTAATTGCTGAGAGGCTGCTGGTGCAGTAATTGCGAGGCCCACAGCGCCTTGTGTGGAGCCCTGGAAACTGCTGCTGGCTCACAGACAGTCAGCCTTCCTCGTATGGGTGGACTCAGACTCTTCGCCCTTCCTCACTGTTTAACAGCAGTACGAAGGTGAAGGCTTGAATAGTCAGTGCTCTCTCTTGTAGATTACATTTTGTTTTAGTATTTAGTTTCAAATTTCATGTATGGCTTTTATTAGTATTTTGGTTATCCAGGGAGTGTAATTCTTTGGTGTCCTTTTAACTTCATGTGATGGATAAAAACATAAATGTTCCTCACTAAAAAAGGAAGTTTATGTATAGCCCCCCCTTATCCTTGGTGATGGGCTCTAAGACCCCCCCAGTGGATGCCTGAAACTGTGGGTAGTACCAAACCCTGTGTATATTATGGTTTTTCCTATACATAAATATCTTTTCACTTAAAGGAAGCTCCTCTTTGGCATATTTGAATTGCCAGCACCACTACTCTTGTACTTTGGGGCCACGATTAAGTAAAATAAGGGTCACGAACACAAGCCCTGTGATACTGCGACAGTCAATCTGATAAGGAGGAGGCTACTGAGTGACTGGGGGGGGTGTACAACTGGACCAAGGGGGTGATTCACATTCCGGGCTGGATGGAGGAGGTCAGCTGGATGGAGGGGGTCGTGAGAAATTTCACCACTCATAACAGCAAAATGTTAACATTTATGAATTGTTTCTTTCTGGACTTTTTCATTTAATATTTTTGGACCACAGTTGATCGATGATAGCTGAACCTGCAGAAGCAAAACTGCATGTAAGGGGGTTAGTTGTTTAGAATGGTGAGCTTTCAGGTGTAAACAATTGAAAAAGGAATTCTTATTTTATATTAATAGAATTGTTTTTGGATTTTACTATGCTGAAATGGTTGCATTCATTGTTATGCATTTTAAATGTCCACAGCTCTGTACCTGCATTTAAAAAAATCTGCCAAGAGCCCTGGCTTAGTTGGTTGGAGCATCCTCCCATAGACCAAAAAGGTTTTGGGTTCAGTTCCCTGTCAGGGCACATACCAAGGTTGCGGTTTACGTTTGATATATGCGGCGATTATCAGTTAACGTTAAAACTATGTTCAACACTGTAGATTAAAATAGCTATAAACACATAATCTTGAGTTATCTTTAGTTCTCAGTATTATACAACAGTTTGATTAGATTATATTACTGGTTTACAGATTGTGTTGAATAAAGAATCAGAACTGTTATGCATTGCTTTGTTATTTTTCTCCTATTGCAATTTCTCTTTAATTTTGGCACTGACTTATTGCAGTGGTAACATTTAGATCTCATTGGTAAATTGAAAGGAGTACAAAAGATAAAAATGTAACTGTCTGTCCCCTACTTCCCCCCATCGCCTTTTTTGCAAATATTTCACTGCGATGGAGAAAGCAAGGCTAGGACCTTTTGCTCTGGTTGCGTACCTTGGAGAGTGCCCAGAAGTGCAGTTGGCTTACGACAGGAGTCTGCCTTTTTCACTTCCTAATCAAGTAATTAAACGTGAGGCCATCAGAGTCATGTACTAGTTGATCGTTCCATGTGCTTCTGTCTGTTTATAGGATGTGGAAAAATTACTGCTTTCTCTTTATTTCTTTATGGTCAGACCAAAAGATGCCACCAGGGAACAGTTGTGTTAGCAGTGAGGTTTTGGAGCATTGTTTTTTAGGACCTGGGAGATGCTATTAAGGTTATATGTGTTCCTTGTAAATTACTAGTTATACGTCTTAATAGAGGTTGGAGGTTAAATCTGATGTTTTCTTAATATTCTTCCAAAGCTATAATTTCCATTTCATTTTCTGGTCATGTCATTACATTTCTTATCCTAATGAACAATTCATAATTTAATATTTGTTGCAGATTTTATTAGTGTTTAAAGTAGTAACACTAACAGATATAATAGATGTAAACACTAAGATAAAGTATGTGTTAAATGTGAAGTGGATTTGCTAACTCCATGCAATGCAGGCATGAATGGACATCTTGTTACTAAATTGGTCAGAGAATTCTTGCAACACAAATCACTGAATCAATAATTGCTTGTTTGTTCAAAGAGTAGTTTTAAGATAAGAACTGTTAATTATTATGGAGACTGTAATGTAAGAGTGAATTTTTTGAGGATGCTCTTCTTTTGAGAATAGTAAAGCCATGTTATATAAATTGTCCTAGTAAAATGGTGAATAGCATTCTCTGTCTTCTTGCTTGTTTTAATTATTTTAAAAATGGTTCTTCATGCAGTCTTTTTTCATTTAATTTTTATTATTTTTATTTAAAATTTTTATTTAAAATTCCTGTCCCCTACTCCCTCCTCTTTGGTAATCATCATCATCTCCTCTATTCGTCTGTTTGTTTATTCAATTTTTAATTACACGTGTAAGTGAGATCATGTGGTGCTTGTCTTTCACTAACTTGTTTCCCCTTAGCACAATACCCCCTAGATCCATGCTGTCACAGACGGCAACAGTTCGTTCTTTTTAATGGCCGAATGATATTCCACTGTGTATATATACCACGTCTTTGTCCATTCATCTATTGATGGACATCTAGGTTCCAGATCTTGGGTATTACTAGTGATGCTGCAGTGCACATAGGGATGTGTATATACTTTTTTGAATTTGTGTTTTTTACTTCTTCCACTAAATATCCAGAAGTAGAATCGCTGGATCACATCACAGTTCTATTTTTAATTTTTTGAGGAATTTCCATACTGTTTTCCATATGGTTGCACCAGTTTACAATCCCATCAACAGTGTACCAGGGCTCCCTTTTCTCCACATCCCCGCCAGTACCTGTTGTGTGTTGATTTATTGATGTTAGCCATTCTGACAGGTGTGAGGTGTTATCTTATTGTGGTTTAATTTGCATTTCTCTGGTGATTAGTGATGTTGAGCACCTTTTCAGATGTCTGTTGGCAAACTTTATGTCCTCTTTGGAGAAATGTCTGTTGTGGTCCTTTGCCCACTTTTAAATCGGATTGATTTTTTTGGTGTTAAGTTATGTGAGGTTCCTTATCTTTTTGGATATTAACCCCTTATTGGATGTATCATTGGCAAATATCTTCTCCCATTCAATAGGTCGTCTTTTTGTTTTGTTAATGGTTTCCTTCGCTATGCAAAACTTTTTATTTTTATGTAGTCCCATTTGTTTATTTTTTCTTTTGTTTCCCTTACCCGAGGAGACATTGCCCCAAAAATATCACTAAGAGTGATGTCACAGAGATTACTGCCTATTTGTTTTCTTCTAGGAGTTTTATGGTTTCGAGTCTTGCATTGAAGTGAGTAATCTATTTTGAGTTTATTTTTGTATATGGTATAAGAGAATGATCCACTGTTATTCTTTTGCATCTATCTGTCCAGTTTTCCCAGCACCATTTATTGAAGAGACTGTCCTTACCCCACTGTACATTCTTGCCTCCTTTGTCATAAACTAATCAACCATATAGGTGTGGGGGTTTTTCTGCGCTCTCTGTTCTGTTCTGTTCATCTGTATATCTGCTTTGATGCCAGTACCACCTTAGAGGGGAAAGAAATATAATGGGTTAGGTTGGCACACCCAGGAGGCTTCAGAGGCAGTGATAATGTTCTTCATCTTAGACTAGGTGGTGCCTTGTAAATGTTTATTGCGTCATCCTTCCATACACATATTTCCTGAATTTCTTTGTACCTACTCAATATTAATAAAAACATTTTAAAGGCCTTAATGAGTTCAAGTAGAATATACTTTTAGAGCAAACGAATACAAGTATAACCTAAATATCAGCACAGATATCTTTTGAAGAAGTGAATTTACAGTTTAGAATCTACTTATTCAAATAATTATTGAATTTTCATTTTACTTATTAATAGTTTTTAAAAGCTTGAAGTATCAGACTTTTGTTTTTAGATACTTATACATATTCTATATTTGTTTATAATAGAAAATATTACATAAGATTGTATTTCAAACCAGTTTAAAAATTAAACTTACTTAGAATTCTCAAGTAAAGCTCATGTTCTTTCCCCTAGTCAGAAGCTTCATGGTGCAGTTGAGCCCGGGGCTGCTTTCCCCTGCAGCTGATGTGACAGCCGTCTGTGGTTAGCTGTGTGATTGTGTGCAGCTTGGGGTTACTGCAGGTTATTCTTTGAAACTAGGACTTCAAGCAAAGCATCTTGTATTCCTTTTGCAGAAATGCTGCTGAAGTGCTGCTGAAAGGGCCAGAGATGCAAGGATTTGGGACACATTTTGAACCTTTAAGCTGTCTGACATTGACCTCCTTTCATTGTTAACAAGAAGAAGCAGGAGCTTAGGATGTATTAACACCCGTTCCTTAATGTGCTAACTGGACACTGTTCTGCAACCATTCCACATTGTAAAGAGCTGGATTGGCACAAAATAAGATAATCTCATATTTTACTCAGCTTATAATATGACTCGATGGAGGAAAATTTGATAAGCATGAGGGAAGACCATTCCTTTCATGTTCGTTACAGGTAAGACTACTGCTTTCTTCGTGGGTGGTTTTTAATCCTTATTTAAATACATATTTAGCTCTGATCATTTCAGATTTAACTTTGGAAATATTTCAGATACACTAGCCATAGTTTGTATCTCTTATAAATAGTTTTTTGTTGTGGTGGTGGTTTTTATATCCTTTCTATAGGAAAATGTTAGTAGAGACCAATGATATACTATAGTTTGTTTATTCTTTTCTGTGTAGAGTTTGTAAATAGTTACTTTATATTTTTGTAATTCTTTCTATAATGAAAATACAAAATTGAAAAATACTTCTAAATCTTTAGTGGTAAAAGATGGATTTTGCAATATGGTCAGCTGAATGACCTAATTTTTGTGTTACAATTTTTAAATGGTGCTCTTTCTACATGAGCTTTTTAAAAAATGGGTATTAACACTGGAATGTGTGGGTACTTTTCTAAACATGATAAGCAAATAGCCTGCTACTATTTAGTGATAAAATATTAATGACATTTCTGATACATTTGGAAACAAAGCAAGAATATCTGCTTCATTATTATTTGACATTTAGTCTGGAAGTTCTGGCCATTGCACTAAACTGTAAAATAAACATAAACATAAGTATTAGAGTGGAAGACAATTTTTAGTAAGGTGATTAGATACTAATAAATCCCTTGTCAAAACTGCTACAAGTTAATATTAAATAAACATCAGAACATATAGCAACAAATATCCAAAATCTCTAATGAGGGAAGGTCTTTGCTGCCTTAGATGCCTCAGCACACGTCTAGGAAACAGTGAGATTTATCTTTGGAGCAGATGGCTCATTAGGGCGTGGTGCCAGGGAAGCTTGTTATAGGTAAGGCAGGGCATTTTTATTAAAAATAAAAAAGTTTCAAATAAAAGAAAATAGAAGGCATTCAACATAATTAAAATGAGCTTTTAATCTAGGAATTGCCCTCATTCCACCTTTTGGGGCATAGTCCTTGAAGCCTGGGAGTTACCTGCATACTTCCCTTCTCACTCTGTATCCAGTGGAAGCCTTGCCCGTCTCCCTCCTAAGTGTCACTCAGACTCATCTACCCATCCGGACCTCTCCCCTCACTGCTGTAGTTCAGTCCCTCATGGTCTTTCCTCTGGACTCTCCAATCTCATCCTCTTGGAATCCATCGGTTTAATTTGCCACTACGGGCTCAGTCTGAATACACAGACCTAACCGTGCACCTCGCTTAATCCCTGTGGCGGCTCGTCACCTATAGGGCAGAGCTAAGCTTACGGGGTACACCAGATCTTCCACTCCTGGCCTCCGCCTCGTCCTCCCTCCATACTTCCAGTCCTCACCTCGCACCTTGAGCTCTGGTTCCTGGAATGTGTCGTGTGTCCCATGTCACAGTGCCTTTGCTCAGGCTACACCCTGTAATGTGTACCCCCTTCCCACTAACTTTGTTTAGCTAATTCTGCTTAACAGCTAAGAGCTCATATCTCCTCCTGGAAACCACTTCTAAACTCCATGGTTTGTCTGTGTGTCCTCTGTGCCCCTGTGCATATCTCTATATTAACATTTAATGTGTCTGTTTATATAAACATGTTTGTCTCCTCCCTCGCCACTCTCTCCTTTGACCCTTCGTGCCCTAGGGCAGCCGTGATGCCTCGCCTGTCCTCTGGCTCAGCCCACATTTGATGGGTGTCCATTGAGCTTCCTTGGATACAACCAGCAGAGGAACCTAGTAAGGCGTTTATCTGTCTTGCCAAGTGTTTTCCAGAGCAGTATTCCTGTTAATTCTGTGAGAGCAGACGGGGAGGAGTGGACTGTCCCCCTGCCTGTAGGAAGGTCCTAGGTTTCTCCTTTTCCAAGACACAGTGTCGGTCAGACTTGGTCGCATGTGAGCACAGGACTTCACCAGGGGAACTTAAAACTCTAACTATTTTTAGTAAGAATGTGCCAAACAAACCTCTGGCTTCATTAGTGCTCTAAGATCAGCATCCTGTCTGTTGGTGGATTGTTGTATCGTTGCAGGTAGCAGTTTGTAGCCCTTACGTTTGGGGTCAGGCCTAGTATAAGCTACTGTTCTACCGTAGGAAACACTTGGCATGTAATGTTTCATCCACCTGGGTCTCTACTGTGAAGGTTCTCTCCTCTCCCTGGGGTTTGCGGTTTTGATATGGAATAGTTCTTTGGACACTAAGGAACCTCCTGAGAGGTATTGGAGCGCTTTATGAGGTATTTTGTAACAGAATTGTGAAGATAGAATGGATGTTGATAGTAAAATGGAATTAGTTCTAAACTTTAATTTTAAGTAATTATTCTTTTTAGGTATGATAAATAGTACTGTGGTTATAATTTTTTTGAAAATGACTCATCTTTTAAATATACACACTAAAATATTTAGAAATGAAATCATGCTTTTTGGAATGTACTTCAAAAGAATCTGAGGTTGGAGAATGAGGATGGAAGTAGAGATGAAACATACTGATAATATATCATATTACTGATGTTGAAAGATGGGCATGTCAGGTTCATTATACTAGTATCTCTAGTTTTGTAATTCTTTGAGAAATTGTGTTCATATTTGTTACTATGAATTATAAACATTTCAATACTTTTTGGTATTATAAAAAATTAGACTATTGCATATAAGTTGTAAAAGAATACAGTTTTGGTGTTGAATTCAATTTTGCTATGTGAATGTAGTTAATAATATTCCTTCCTGCCCTGGCTAGTGTGGCTCGGTTGGGGCCATGCATTGAAAGGTTTCCTGTTCAATTTCCCATCAGGGCACATGCCCAGGTTTCGGGCTTGATCCCAGCAGCGGGTGTGCAGGAGGGAGCTCATCGAAGTTTTGCTCTCATATTAGTATTTCTCTCTCCCTCCTTCTCTAAAAGAAAAAAAAAAATCAATAAAAATATTTTTTAAAAAGAAATAATATTCTTTCCCAAAACTAGTTTGAGGTAGCGGGGAGTGGTGTAAAGAGAAGATTTGGAGACAGATGGGATTTCATTTCTCAGCTCTGCCTCTGTATGACCCTAGGCAGGTCACTTAACCTGTCTGAGCGTCAGTTTCCCCTTCTGTAGTAATGCCTATCTCAGAGGGTTATTTTGAGAACTGAATTTGATATAGTAGTATAGTAAAATCACTTTTAAAACTAAGTTACCAATCAGAATTTAAATCAAGATAATTTTGCACTACTCTCCTTTCTACAAAATAAACTAGAATAACTAGATATATGTGGGAAATTGAATGGATGAAAACTGCAGGACCAGGACTGGTCGTGGAAAAGGTCAGTGCCCAGTTAGAACACACAGAAGGTGGAGCTGAGGTCTGTAGATTTGACAGCTAGAGGACAGAGCAGGAAGGAGACGGTGCGGCACAGGTTCATTTTTCAATCTGAAGTCCTGAATCCGTCATTTATTAAGTAGTGTGTGAGCCCTTTGAGGGGAGGGTCAGATTTAGACATAATTGGTATTAAATCTTTTAAGTGATGTAGCATCAGTGTTCTAAACTTCTTCTGCTTTCATTGATATACTATGAATGCAGGAAACCAAAATTAAGGAGGTAAAGAGAAAAAAAATCTAGTATGGAAGAAACATTAAAAATAATATGAAAATATAAAAATGGAACGAAATGAAAATGACATGAGCTTGTGCAGAAAATGAGGAAATACAGCTATAATGTGCAGTCAGCAAAAGTGAAAACTTCCCCTCTGTGATTATCTATGGTTATTAGAAGTGCACTTTCTTTGATTATACAACTGGACAGGTCATTGGGTCTCGAGAATAAAGGAACCTTGTGTGTGGGATGCGTTTTAATGGAGAGCTGTGTTCCTGGTTTGCCTTCTACTCTGGGTGTGTTGTTTTCAACCCAACTGGTAAACAAATGAAGTAATTCTATTCTCTCAGAGACAGAGAGGATATGAAATTACTTTCTCTGTTACTATTTAATGATCTTCTGAAATATTTATAGACTAACCTGCCCCAACTATTTTGCAATTAGATACATTTCATTGAGGTGTTGGAGATTTTGCCAGAACATTGACTTCTAATAAAATGTACCAGAGTCATAACATATCTCAGAATTAATCATGAACTAGAGTCTGAGACTGGATTTCAGGTGTTCGTGACTGAAATAACTTTCTAAGGTTTATTCTGTAGGGCAGCCCCACTCCATGGATTTCAAAGACACCTTTACAGCCAGTCTGCTATCACTGTTTCTAATGGGAATCATGTAAAATACCTTTTTTAAAATTTTGTTAATTGCATCGTCATTTGGATTAACGGTTCCAGTATCATGTTGTATAAGTTTAAATCCAGATGGTCAGATATTTGTGGTGAGGATATTGGTTTGAGGAAGACAATTCTCTGTTTTATGTGGACATAGGCCAGCACTGTTGTGAACTTCTAATTTTTCCATGTCTTACGTATGCAGAGCTGGTTCTGTTCTGCCTTTGCTCTGATTTCCTGGTTAGCAAGCTCGTCACCCCGAACTGATGGTGCTGCTGTGTGGGCCTGTCTGCCGCCCCTGCAGTGTGAAATCATGGGCTTCATTAGTCTTCCATTGATTGATGGGAGGAAATTTTACTAACCAGTGCTCTTTTGGTGGACCTTTAAGTTGTCTGTGTTTTTTTTGCTACTGAGAACATCTTTTTACATGTATCTTTTTTATTTGTATACATGTAGCTATTATGTACAATTTACTAGCAGTGAAATTGCTCGCTCTCTCTCTAATAATTGGAATCATGCTTAAATTTAAAAATTTTAAGAGAAAAAGTAATGTATTTTATATGTAAAAAATGTATTTTCCAGTTCTTTCCCTATAATTCTTAGAAGTTCAGTGGTTTCAGTATTTAGACAAATAAAGACACCTAATTAAGGTACCTCATCTAGCAAAAGAACCTTTGATAAAATCACATTTTTACACATTACTGTTTTGCTGACTCACTTCTCTTCACACAGAATACCAGTAACTTCATAAAACCTTAAAAATAATCTTTTTCTTTTATGAACTTTCATTTTCTAAAATACAGTTCTAAAGGACAGTTTTCACTTATGAAAGATGAAAGACGAAAGACTTATTTGAAATGACATGAATATAACAATGTAGGTTTCTGATTTAACTAATTTCTCCATGTGCTTAGTGCCCCTCCTGTGTCTAATCCACTTGGTGTGAGATCGAAGCAGAGTTAATAGAGGTTTACTTGCATTATTTTTTATAGATCCATGAATGAGGGTGAAGTCACTAGTCTAACTATGAACAAACAGTAGCCTTTGGCTAAATCTCTTGAATCATAAAAAATATATATTCCTGGATGTAAAGCTTGGAAACGACCTGTCAGAGGTGACGACGTAAGTCTGAGCTTCTGAAGCAGTCTGCTCTGAACCTTGTAACTGGCTGTTACTCTCGGTCCAGATTTTCTTTTGGCCTCATCAGGTTTATTGTCCACTTTTATGACTCCATTTCAATCATGGCTCTAAGGAGCCTGAAGGACAGCACCTAGGAAATGTTTAATTGACCTGATACTAGAAATACAAACATATAATCATATCTGAATGAATTTAATTCATATTTCCTGTTAAAGCACAACTTAGAACAGTTTAAGAACATTATTTTAGGAGTGGGTTGCTGGGGGTAGGGTGGGCAATTAAAATGGGCTCCATATAGAGATATTCTATATAAAATACCTGAGACTCAGGTACATTTGAATAGGCAAATGAATGACCTTTTGCTATAAATAATGGCTTACTGTTTTGTCAGTCATGTCAGCTGCTCTGAGCAAGGGCAGCCACGACTCACATTGAAACTATGCTACTGGAAGTTATAATGTGATGTCGTAACTGTATCCTGTGTAATTTTGTAGAATGGAAGCTTCTTGCCTGGAACTGGCCTTAGAAGGGGAGCGTCTGTGTAAATCTGGAGACTGCCGTGCGGGGGTGTCCTTCTTCGAGGCTGCAGTTCAGGTTGGGACTGAGGACCTGAAAACACTCAGTGCTATTTACAGCCAGCTGGGCAACGCTTATTTCTATCTGCATGATTACGCCAAAGCATTAGAGTACCACCATCACGATCTAACTCTTGCAAGGTAATTAATTTAAGCTTTTTAATGTCCTTTCTCCCTAAATAGTCACTTTCAGAATATTTGTGTTTAATTTAAAAAACTAACAATACATTTAGTGAATTCTAACTAAATAGCATTGCATTTAAAAACTAATCTTTAGGCTGAGTTTAATTAAATTAATGAATTAGTGAAATGACCCTAGAGTTTAATTAAATGAATGAATTAATTAATTTAAATACAGAAATGTAAGTTTTACATTTTATTCAAAGTAGGTTTCAAGGCTAATGGGTCTTTCTTACCTTAAGCATATTAATTGTCCTCTAGAGAAAACTGTACTCTGGCCACTTTATATTTTAATACAATTTGCTTTTTTTTTTTTTAATTTTTTTCCAGGACTATTGGAGACCAATTAGGGGAAGCCAAAGCTAGTGGTAATCTGGGCAACACCTTAAAAGTTCTTGGAAATTTTGATGAAGCTGTAGTTTGTTGTCAGCGACACCTAGATATTTCCAGAGAACTTAATGACAAGGTAATAAGGAAACATTTTTCATTGAAATTGCTTTGTGTTTTAATTGTTTAATCATTCTGTAGTTCATCTAAAAGTTAATACCAGAAAAGAAAATATTCATAGAAAATAGAAGAAAAGAAACATACAAATTGTTAGAGGAAAAAAGTAAATGAGAGGTCCTTGTTCATACATGAGCATTGTTTGGTTCTGGGTGGACAGAGTGTAAACCCTTCTTTCTCCTGGCTGCAATATCAAGGGTATTACAAATGAATGTGTGTGGTGGGCACTGATACCTGACCTATGAGTTCTAAGTATAAAAATGAAATCTCTGCACCATCTTCATCCAGGTGGGAGAAGCAAGAGCACTTTACAACCTTGGAAATGTGTATCACGCCAAAGGGAAGAGCTTTGGCTGCCCTGGTCCTCAGGACACAAGTGACTTTCCCGAAGAAGTGAGAAGCGCTCTGCAGGCAGCCGTGGACTTTTATGAGTGAGTAGTGCTGTCGGCGTGTGGGCTGCTAAGCTGTGAAGCTCCTGTACATTCTTTATCCCATAGGAAGCGTGGATCCACTGTATACTTTAATGCAGGAGGAAGCTTTGATGTTTAGCAAAGACTTTAAAATTAGGGACCAGCAAGGGAAAATAAACCATCCAATTTTGCTAAAAGGTTACGGTTGGATTAGTAGTAATCCCCTCCCCAGGAAAACTTCCATTTAAACTGCAGGCTAGCGCCACTTAGTGGCAGAAACAAGAAGTGTCATTGGTTAGTCTAAGTTCTTTGGGGTAAGTTTAGTCTCTATCAATAGAATTTCATAGAACTTCTTAGCTTAGGGGTTTCAAGGTTAACTACATCCTTGACTCTGGGCAGAAACCCCCTAGATGGTTTAGTAAAGTGTCCCCAGCCAGTTCATATAGCCACCCTCCATCATAGACACATCTTTAAAATGTGGCACATTGTGGCTGTAAGTTTAATTTTTTTCCCTAACAAAATGACTTAGATTTGTAAATCTAATTAATACACCCTCCTTATTTTTTCACAACTTTTTGTTATCACTTAGGGAAAACCTATCACTAGTGACTGCTTTGGGCGACCGAGCTGCCCAAGGACGTGCCTTTGGAAACCTTGGAAACACGCATTACCTCCTGGGAAACTTCAGGGATGCAGTTATAGCTCATGAGCAGGTACGGTGCAGGCTGTGGAACCACTCACCTTCTCCATCTGCACAGTGATGAGATTATTCTTTATTATCACTCTATCTATCTAATCAGAGTTTTCTCTTACAGCGTCTCCTTATAGCAAAAGAATTTGGGGATAAAGCAGCTGAAAGAAGAGCATACAGCAATCTTGGAAATGCATATATATTCCTTGGCGAATTTGAAATGGCCTCTGAATACTACAAGTTAGTCTGATATTTCTGTAGATAAATGTAAAATGAGTAGTATGCAGTCCTGTTAAAGCACAGGCAGGTTTAAAACCTGCTCTTTGCTTCACATTAGCAGTAGGACGTTGGGCTTCTAAGACTCGGTTTCCTCATCTGTAATGGAAGATACCAGTACCTTGCTTTTGGAGTTGTGTGAGGATTGAAGGAAAAACTATATTAAGCACTTACTTAGCATGGTACCTGCACAGTGCTCAGTAAATATTATTGTCCCTAAGATTTAATACCAGCAGTATGACCCCTTTATACTATTACTTTTTACCTTTAGAACTGTTTTTAAATGAAATTCTTAACTTGTTTAGCATGTGTAGTATGTATATTTATATGCTTTTTTCACCCAGTTTGTAGAGAGGCCAAAAGAAAGCCTAGTAACAAAAGTATGGCTTTCTTTTCCCCAGTGGTCACTGGGTTTTTCCACCCTTTCACCTCTCTGCCCATCTTCAATCCTCGCTCACCTGACTGGCAAGCCCAGCTCCTTCTGTGGCAGGTCTTTCTAACCCGTCCACAGACTTGACTGTAGATGACAGCAGATGTTAGGCTGCCTGAGATGGCCTGGTCTGTGCTTTCTAGGTTGTTTGGAGTTTTCCCTAATTAGTGGGGATCGAAGGCCCATACAGACTTTTGGCAGGAGCCCAGTTTGAATGAACCAAAGATACAGTGACTGATTTGTATTTTATTGTTAGAGAATCCAATGTGAGAGAGCACCAAATATTTTGTCATCTTAAAAAACGGTGAAATTCTTTAGGTCCATCTAAAAACTAAAATGTCATCCCACCTTCCTTTAAACATTAACCAGATGGTTAGTATTTGTTGATTAGATATGAAATATCCTCCCAAATATCACTATATAGGGAGTATATATTTTGACTTTAAATACACGTTTCTTATATTTTAAAGTTAAAAAACATAGATGCTATTCTTAGCATTTTGTAACTACTAACTTATTTAATCCTCACAAAACCCTGTGAGCTGTCTTCCCCATTTTACACGTGAGGAAATTTGGCACAGAGAAGCTGATGAGTTGCCCCAGTCTCAGAGCTAAGCTGGGGTTTGAACCCAGAAACTCTAGTTTTACGGCCCATGCTCTTAACTGCTACACTAGCTTCTCAGTGACGATTCCATAGGCATTAGATAGAATGTGGTTAATGTTTAAATGTACTTAATATTTTTCATGACTCAGTGACTTATGGCCTAACTCAGTATTTTAAATTTTGACAGAATGTAAAGGCAACGGTGTGATTGAAAGATCACGTGAGCAGAGCCACTGCCACTGCCACAGGGAAGGTTTTCTTAAATGTTAAAAGCGCTGTGCTAATCTTAGAAGCACTTGATCTTATGTGTCACTGCTTTTCTCTGGGAAATTAAAGGACCCTCAAATTTATTATAAAGTCTGGATTTGCCTTTCGTGTTTCAAAGGCATCTTTTCATTCTGTCTGGAAGTCACGGAGAAAATGCAGGATCTTAGGCTCTAAAACAGATTCACTTTAAAGGCAGGTGGAAAGTGAGAGTGTTATTTTGTGATTATCACCAAAAATAAAATGATGGGTTTATGTAAGAATTAATTTCTTCTTTTAGAAAGACACTCCTGCTGGCTCGGCAGCTTAAAGACAGGGCCGTGGAGGCACAGTCCTGCTACAGTCTCGGAAACACCTACACGTTACTCCAGGACTATGACAAAGCCATCGACTACCACCTGAAGCACTTAGCAATCGCTCAAGAGCTGAAGGACAGGTGAGTTATACACCTTGTTACTATAGTTATGGTACAATATAGATGCACTGTTCAATTCCTAGAATTTTTCCCGTTTTTAATAAAGTGTTTTCTGTGTTTCCTTTGTTCTCTTTTTAAGGAATTTCCTGTTTCAGTACCATCCTCTGTATTGTTTGAAGGGCTAGCATGTGTTAGGGGATTAGCCTAGTTCCATGAAGCCTTGGACCCAGATCAGTGACTAGGTTACAAACCCCACTGCCCACAGTGGTCCTTCTGACAAGACCAGAGTGGATTGGGGTGAACTTAGACCCACAACCCTGTGTGGCAGCCCCAGCTCATTGCTGCCAGCAGGCATGAGGGCCCATTATGTCAAGTTCCTCGCCTTTTTTAAAGAGAAGCTAGAAGTCCTGAGTTTCATATGAAGTCTACTGATTTTGAATGCTGGTGGCTAATTCCTTTTTTTCATTGAATGAAAAAACAGCATATATGTACAGGCCTTTAGTCCATGTTGTTTACTTTAGGAAACTGGACTTTACCTCAGTATGAAGGGGAACTCCTCTCTCCACTATCTCAGAGGTGGTGGGTTCTCCCCAGTTGGGCTTAAACACAGGCTGCACGATTACCCTGGTGCTGCGTAGAAAATGGGGTGGGGGAGCTGGACCTGTCCCTGACATTTGTTTATAATACGGTGCATGTTTAAAAAGGTGTTTTAATACTTGACTCTTGAGTTCTCAGCATTACCTGGGTATTGTAGTATGTCTCTAGTATTGTGATAGTATGTTTTTTATATCAAATACCAAGTAAATGCAGAGCACTATGTGTACCTTTAATTACTGCTGGCAGCCCTGATTCCCATGCAGACTTCCTTTCAGATAACGGCAAGTTTGCCTTGATTGTTTCATAGAATTGGCGAAGGAAGAGCGTGTTGGAGCTTAGGAAACGCATACACAGCCCTAGGAAATCACGAGCAAGCCATGCATTTCGCTGAAAAGCACTTGGAAATTTCAAGAGAGGTACGAAGATGAAAGACTGCTGTTTGCACTGCTGTGGTTCACATCACAGGGGACAGTCCTGGCATTGCTCTAGACTGCTCCTCTATGGCTGAGTGATAAGTTTAACTATGTATTGTTCTTGTGGCATCAGAACTGCAGAAAGCACTTTGAAATACTGATCAGAGGTGTGTTTGCATTGGCCTTGATGTAGGAAGGTAAGGCTGGGCACCAGGGAGTGAAGATTACTGGAATATGGCCCTCACTGTACCCCATTTCTGCATGGACAAGTAGCATGTGTGGGAAGAAAAACATGGCTTTTAGAGTCAAGGACTGGCTGTTACACTGCTGCCACCTGCTGGCCATTTGAGCTTGGAAACCTTTCTGAGCCTCTTTTCTATCTGTAAAACAGGAATATGTTGCAAGTCATTTTAAGGATTAGAGATAATATATAAGTGTCTACGATAATGTCTAGTGCTGGCTTAATAAATGTTAACTGTTACTATAGTGTGGAAATAAAATATTCTAAGGAAATTTAATTCATATGATGCTAAGTTAATGTGTCACAGAACCACCGTCTTATTTAATATGATCACGGAGATTAAGAGCAATCTAATATTTAAAGAACTAAAGAATTGATAAAATTTAACTAACTGTCCTATTGTCATGTTTTAGAAACTTTCCTTTTCTTTCTTATTTAAAAACATTTCATTCTAGTCTCATAGTTCCAACATAACTATTTTCATTCAGTTTTAGGTCACAACATTTTCAGCTAATCTTCACCATTCTTTGTCTTTACTCTAAAATATGTTTGTGGCTGTAGGTTGGGGACAGAAGCGGTGAGCTGACAGCACGGCTGAATCTCTCAGATCTTCAGATGGTTCTTGGTCTGAGCTACAGCACAAATAACTCAGTAATGTCTGAAAATACTGAAATTGATAACAGCTTGCACGGTAAGTAACAGGTCTTCAAAACCCAACTTGATCCTTAAGGTTTACCTTTAAATTAGTTACCACATGTGTACCATATCCAGAGAGAATATGTAACACAGGAAGTTCAACATTTTATTAACACACTTTAATGAAATTAAAAGAGAGATTCGGGAGAATTTTAAAAACCCAAATCTGGTTCTTTAAAGACTAACCGATCTACAGCAAGATTATCCCAGGAAAAAAATGAGAAAAAGAGAAGTGGACATAAGATAGATGCAGCCAGAAATTAAAAAGATGAAATGATCCTGAATAATTTTGTAAAAATCATACTTGAAAACATAGGAGATGTGGACAGTTTCTAGGAAAACTGAAAGGACATTTGCCCCACACGTGATTCAAAAGGGGTTTGTATTCAACGTGTAAAAACTCCTATGAATTAGAACCAAGACAAATAACCCAACTAAAAAATGGGCAAAAGCGATGAACAGAAGATACACTAACAGCCCATAAGTACTGAAAGATATTTAACTTCACTGAATCAGGGAAAACTACAGTGAAATAATATTGAAAACCTATGTGGTAGAAAAAAAAGGTCTGGTAATACTAGTACTGAAACAATGTGGGTAATGGAAAGTCTTATGCAGTACTTACTGGAATAGAAATTGGTATATTTTAAAGAGCAACTTGGCAACACTCTGGTAAAGTTGAAGATGTACCAACCTTATGACCCAGCAATTCTGCTCCAGTTACATACCCTGACATCCACCTGGGAGAAACACTTACTCGTGCACACTAAGAGATGTCCAGGAATCTGGAGTAGTAGTACTTGTAACAAAAAATACTACCTGGAAGCAACCTAAATACCTGTCCCAGTAGAATGGATAAGTAACTGATTTCCTAGTCCTAAAAAGACAATGAAAATTAATTAAACTACATACAACTTGGATGAGTCTCACAACTGCTCCAAGGAAACAAGTTAGAGGACATGTACAGTATGAAACCATTTATATAATATATGTTTTATTGCTTATACGTAATGAAAATATGAAAAATCAGAGGAAGGAAGAAGGTCGTTGGGGGGAGTTAACATGGTTTATTTTTTAAGCTGGGTAGGTATCATGTATTCCTTATATTATGCCTTTTAAAATATTGCCTCTCTTTAAGAGCTGGAGGGGATATGAAAGTTTTTATATTTCATGATAATTTTATTGAAAAAGAATTTTGAGGAACTTCTTAACATTTCTTGACTGGCAGTAAATCTGTCATCTAATGAGACCTCAAAATGGAAATGGGCATCTCTGAAATAATATACTGGGAATGTTATTTTTATTCGTACCCCAAAATTGAGGATGTAAAGCCTTTTCCTTATGTTTTTTCTTATTTAAACCACTCTGGTCTTAAGGAGCTAGATAGTATAAAACCAATTATTATAAAAAGCCGTTTCTAAATTAAGAGGTAATGTTAGTAACCAAAGTTAGTTTCCCAGCAAAATGTAACTTCCTTACACCAAAGCCTTGGAGGAAGGAGTGCATATCCTATTTTTATGTAGTTGATATGGAAAAGTATTCTTCTAAAAAGAGCATGTTTGTACGTATTTCCTACTTCCATATGGGTTTGTGTACCAGACTTTAAAATTCAATAACAAATAGCCTAGTGATGCTGAATTTGTAGTCTGAAGGTCTCCCTGGTTTATTTACTCTTTTTACAAAGGTGCACGCCCCAAGTCTGGACGCCGACACAGTATGGAAAACATGGAACTTATGAAGTTAACACCGGAAAAGGTGGGCAGTTTTTATGTTTTGAATTTCTTGACCTGTTATAATATTTTAGTAACTTTTAATTTAAATGAAATAGTTTATTTTTAAAAATAAAACTACAAAGTAACTTTATTTTTAATTTACAGTTCTCATTATTCATGGATTCCATATTTACAGAGTTGGCTACTCACTAAAATTTGTAACTTCAAAAAAAATATTTGTAGTGCTTTTTTGACCCCCATGTAAGGTCTCGTTTTGCTTTCAATTCTTATATTAGTTTCAGGTGTACAATATATTGACCACTAAGTCTCATTAGCATCCATCACCTCACAGAACTATAGAATTTTTTCTTGTGATGAGACCTGATTTACTCTTAGCATCTTTCAAATGCGCAGGACCAGATTGGCTGTAGTTGCTGTGCTGTATGTTACATCACATCTTTGTAACTTACTTGTGTTACAACTTTGGTACCTTTTGACTCTCTTCACCCGTCTCATTCACCCCCTGCACCCCCACCTCTGGCAACCACCAGTCTATTCTCTGCGTCTGTGTGCCTGAGGTTTTTTTGCAGTTTTTTTACATTCCACATATAAATGAGATCATATGGTATTTGTCTTTGTCTGAATTACTGCACTTAGCATATGCCCTGAAGGTCCGTCCATGCTGTTTAATGACAGGGATGCCTTCCAGAAACGCACTGTTAGGCAGTGACCATCACCGAGGGCGCTCACACACACCGAGGTAGTGCAGCTGCCGCTCCTCGGCTGCGAGCCTCTACAGCATGAGACTGCACAGAGCCGCCTGAGATTCAGTTAAATGCAGGAGAAAAGGGTACAGTCAGGAGATGCAGTAAACGGAGATGTGTGGGGTTAAGAAAGAGTTCTGGTGTTTTTTCCATGTCCTGCTTTACACTTACATTTATAATTTTGTAGGTACAGAACTGGAACAGTGAAATTCTTGCTAAACAAAAACCTCTCATTGCCAAACCTTCCACAAAGCTGCTCTTTGTCAACAGATTGAAGGGGAAAAAATACAAAACTAATTCCTCCACTAAAGTTCTCCAAGATGCCAGTAATTCCATTGAGCACCGAATTCCGAATTCTCAGAGGGTATGTACGTGTAAAATAAGTTTTCGAGTACTGTGAGTACAGTAGTCCCTTATCCACGTTTTGCACACCAAGGTTTCATTTACCTGTGGTCAAATGCAGTCCAAAAATATTAAGTGGAAAATCCCATGAACTCATGTTTTAAATTGCACTCTGTTCTGAGTAGAGTGATGAACTTTCATGCTGTCCTGCTCTGTCTGGCCCAGGCATGAATCACCTTTGTCCAGTGTCTCCACATCCCTGCCTGTTACGTTAGTCACTCAGTAGCCAGTTATTAGATCAACTGTTGAGGTATCGCAGTGCTTGTGTTCAACCCTATTTTACTTAATAACGGCCCCAAGTGTAAGAGTAGTGATGCTGGCAATCAGGATGCCAAAGAGAAGAGGGAAACTGAACCTGGGGTGTTGCCTGTATCACTGATATTTGCATAATTCATTCTTCAGGATCTGAAGCAGTGCCTCTCAGTCTGAGGTACATTTTGTTAGCCTTAGAAAACAAGGATTAAAAACTAAAATAACTACAAATGCTTTCTGTTGGGTTGAAATCTTTTAATAATAATTTTGCCATCTTGTATTTTTATAAAGAAAATGCTAGCTTTTAACGTATATCAAGATATTGTTCCAATGATGATCTGAGGATATGCTGGAGTATTCAGATTTTCTCACTATTTCAGAAACTCAGTGCAGACACTGTTGGAGATGAAGGGTTTTTTGACCTATTAAGCCGATTTCAGAGCAACCGGATGGATGACCAGAGGTGCTGCTTACAAGACAAGACCTGCGGGACGGCTTCCAGCGCAGCTCCGTCCACTCCCCCAAGAGTGATGCTAAAACGTACGTTATCTGTGCTTCCCCAACTTTAATAGTTTCCTTTGATATTCCTGAGTTATTTCTGAGAATTCAGTTCTCATAGGAGGTACAGTAACATCCCAAAACAAGGTTTTGTGTCAGTGCCCCTGAGTTCATCCATGTTCCTAGTCCAGGGCACTTTCTATCACACTGCCTCTCTAGTGTCTCTGGGGTTGGGGAAAAAAATGAGTTATATGTACCTTATATGTACAATGCAAATGCTTCACATCTGGATTAAAAAAGCCAAGACAGACTGAAGAAAACTTCTGCCTATGGCTGAAGCTCAGGCCTGCCAGAGCCTTAGAAAGATGACTTCCTTTCCCCTTGAGAGAGACTTCCCTGCAGCACTCTAGTTAGCTAAAAGGTTCCTATCCGGGGCATGGAGTAACAACAGTCCCATTCGTCTTGGCTGGACGCATTATGTAAGAAAAACAGCTGCTTTACCTTCTGAAATCTAGTCCTGAATCTCGTGAAGGTACATGTGGGTGGGCACCAGGTAAATGCAGTCAAACCTGAGCTACCACCAAATGGATGGTAGAGGTTCTCTCGATCCACTGTCCCACCCATCTCTGACTCTCAGTGACAGAGCTAATAGGAGGGTGGGACGGTACTGGCACTGAACACAGCATGAGGAGCTGTATGACAGATGTGCTTAATGTTGCGTTTTTCCGGTTTGTAGCATCCTCTGTCTCCGTGGTGTCCCCCAACACGGATGAGTTTCTAGACCTTCTTGCCAGCTCACAGAGCCGCCGCCTGGACGACCAGAGGGCCAGTTTCAGTAACTTGCCAGGGCTTCGTCTGACACAAAACAACCACCAGTCAGTCCTGGGCCACCTGATGACGAACGACAAGGAGCCTGACGAAGACTTCTTTGACATCCTTGTAAAATGTCAAGTACGTGAATATCTTTATCACCCGTTTACAGAAGGATGCTGTTGAGAGCTTTGGCAGTATTAGAACTCAAGTTGGGAAGGGCTCACTGCATTAGTGATAGCTTCTTGTTTTGTAGTCCTTTTGGCTGGTGATGTGGAGAGAAAACTGAAAGAAATGGGACAAAACCAGAAAAGAGCCCCTCTTCCCTAAATTCTAAGGAGGCAGCATTAGGAGCAACCAGTGATTAAGTTAATGTAGGGACCTGTCTAAACAGTTTACCATTTGGGGAAAAAGTACATAGTACAAAAGCTTTCATATTTTAGCTGTTTTAATAATTACTAACCAGTGTGGTTAAGGACAGAGAAAAATAAGCATTATTTTCACTCAGAAGAGACATTTTCTCCGCCCGGCCCTAGCTCTTATCTGTGCCTCGCTCATGATGATGACAGGCACGGCCTACATTCATTCAACAGAAAATGACTGAACACCTTTTATGTTCTGGGTACTACTCTAGACATTGGAGATACACTTGCTTTGTAGTGGGAGAGGCATTAACTGTGTGTGTACAGGTTAGTATGTGTCAGGTACTGATACTTGCTGTAAAGAACATTAAAGCAAGATAAAAGGCTGGTGGTTGGTGGGGAGAGTTTCAGGTGTGGTGGGGAGGGAAGACATGTCTGAATTGACATCTGAACAGAAACCTGAATGAGGCAAGGCAGTCAGCCATGTGAAAGAACATTCCACAAAGAGACAGCAAATCCCCAAAAGTTTAGCAGGTTCAAGGAACGGCAAGGTGATGGGTGTGGAGTGAATCAAGGTGGATGGAGAGGTAATTGGGGCCGAGGGCACCTAGGCTGCAATGGGAAGACACTGGAGGCTTCTGCATGGTCATCCTGGCTGTTAGTAGGAAAACCAGCTAGGAAACTAATGTGGTAATTCAGGCAAAAGACAGTGGCAGGAGTGATGACTAGTCAGACGATGGGTGAGATCTGCTAATAAACTGGATAGTGGGTATGAGAGAGAATCGAGGGTGACTCCTGGCCTTATGGCTCGAATGAGTGAGTGGAACAAATGGTACTATTTAATGAAATGGAGACAGGAGAAACAGGTTTGGGGAGGAAAGCAAGAGCTCTACTTCAGAGTGTAAAGTTAGGTACCTGATCAGACAGTCGCGTTAAGAAGGCAATGGGACATAAAGGTGTGACCCCGAGAGAGAAGGAACTTCGGGAGTCGTCAGCAGGTAGCTGGTGTTAAAGCCCTGGATGGAAACTCCCAAATCTAATTGGCTAGAGGAGATGAGCCCGCAATCAGCCAGAGCTGGAAGAAGACCTGCGTGTGGGTAAAGCTAAGCACAGCAGGTGTTTTAAGGAACCTCCAGCTGTGTCAAGTGCTGCTAAGAAGGGGAGTAAGATGATGGCTGAGCTATTAGATTTGGCAACACTGAGATTAGTAATTTTGAAAGATACTGTTTTAGTGAGATGACAGGGACAAAGGATGGAGTGGGTTGAGAAAGGGGGGATATCATCAGTTGGAGGGGGAGGGAGGTGAGTTTTTCCTACGCTGGGAGGTAATAGGGCACGTCTGTAGAGGAATGCGGAGCAGCTGGAGCAGAGGAGGGTGCGCACATGGAGGTGGGAGCAAGCAGGAATTCTCTGCTTCCTTCTATTTTCTCAGCAAAGTGAGTAGGGGCATAAACAACTTTCTTTCAAAGAAAGTTGACACTTTGTGACACTGAAAGCATGCTGACCTGTGCTGAGCACTCACTCGAAGTTCATGGTCACTGAAGTCAGTCCGGTCAGTACAACTGTGTATCTTCCTCCAGTCACAACCAGATGCTTAAGGAGAGCTTACAAGGTTGGTATTTTGCCCAGAGAGCAGGAGAGTGGGGGAGAGAAGCACATGCTAGGTAGTGGTTTGGAATCTAAGGAGAAGGAAATGCAATGTGTACAAGTGAAAAGTAGCCGTGACCTGAGTCAATACAGAAATACTGAACATCAGTGAAGCAGATGCGTAAGAATTAGAGAGGGGTGGGTATCTCCACAGCATAGCTGGAGACTTCAGTACCCACCCCACGGTCAGTAATGGGCAGGACAACCAAGCAGAGGCCTTGAACAAGCAGTGCACCCCTGCATCTAACACATCAGAACACTAACGCCCAAGTGCACACGGGAATCGCTCCAGGGTGGGCTGTATGTGAGGCCACAAATGAAGTCTCAGCAGAATTTAAAAGACAAACTACAGGATTGCTGGAGAAATCAGAAAACCTGGGGAGGGTTCTGAAATTTAGAGGAGGGGGGCTCGGGGAAATGTAAAGCTGTGCTCATGTTAAAAAGGGAAGTCTTAAATCAGTAACCTGTGCTTACAACTTTAGGAGCTAGAAAAGCAACACACTAAACCTAAATCCAGCAGAAGGAAGGAAAGAGGATGAGGCCAGAGACATATAGAGAAAATCAACAAAACCAAATGCTGTTTCTTCAAAAAGATTGACAAACCTCCTAAGCTAGACTAAGAAAAAGACAAGGCTTAAATTACTAAAATTAGAAATAAAAGTGGGGACATTACTCCTGATTCTACAGAAACAAAACGTACAGAATACCATGAATATAAGCCAGTAAGTTGGATAAACGAGATGAAATGGACAAATAACTAGCAACACAAAACCAGCCAAGAAAATCATGAAGAAACATGAAATAGACCCGGTAAGAGATTCTATCAGAAATCAGAAAGCCCTGGACCTGATGCCTGCACAGGCACATCCGACCAGACATTTAAAGAGCTCACGTCAGTGCTTCTCAGACTCTTCCTGTGACTTAGGAGTCATTCTGTGAGGCCAACATATTGCCCTAATACCAAAACCAACAGGACACTATACGAAAACCACGGACCAACATCCTTTTTGAATACAGAGGCAGAAATCAACAAAATACCAGCAAACAGAACCCAGAAGTATAGTAAAAGGATTGTATACCAAGACCAGGTGAGATTCAACATATGGAAATCGATGAGTGTAAGAAAGTACCACACAGTCATCTCAAATGATGCATAAAAAACATTTGACAAAATTCAGCACATTTATATACTAAAAACACTCAAACTAGGAATGTCAGGAAGCTACTACAACATAAGTCATTTATGAAATACCCACAGTTTTCCTCAATCAGTGGTAAAGGACTGGAAGCTCTACCCGGAGCAGCTGGGCAAAAAAAGAAACAAGCAGCAGCCAGACCGGAAAGGAAAAGGGAAATTACCTTTTGTTCAGAGTGACAGGCCCTTCTATGTAGAAAATCCTAAAGATTTCACACACACACAAAAACGTTAGAACTAAGGAGCAGATTCAGCAAAGTAACAGGATATAAAATCAATATCCAAAAATCAGTTGTTTCTCTATGCTAACAATAAGGAAATTAACAATTCCACTTACAATAGCATCAAAAGGAAAACACTTAGGAACTAACCAAGGAGGCAACAGACTGGTACAATGTAAACTACAAAATATTTCTGAAATTAGTAATGACATAAATTTCTGAGAAGAGGAAAAAAGGAAATGTTTAAAGCTGTATTTCCTGTTGAGAATGACAGGCAGCTCAGTGCTCCCTCCCTACTGTATCTGGGTTTTAATCTCTTTCCCGTGTTTCCAGGGGTCCAGATTAGACGATCAAAGATGTGCTCCGCCACCCGCTGCCACGAAGGGACCCACGGTACCAGATGAGGACTTTTTTAGCCTTATTTTACGGTCTCAGGCGAAAAGAATGGATGAACAGAGAGTTCTTTTACAAAGAGATCAAAACAGAGACACTGCATTTGGACTGAAGGACTGTTTGCAAAGCGATGCTCTGTTGGAATTTAAAAGTTCAGGAAGAAAATAAGCAAACCTCTAGTTACTGTGGATGTATTTTTTTACAGTAACCCTGTTTCCTTTCAGAACACTGCAAGGAAATTCAACCTACTTCTTTTCCTTAAAAGGAGAAGTTCCAGCACTGTAATGCAGCTTCAAGGCTGTGAGGGTGCGTAAGTACTTAACCTTTGTACAGCAGGAGTGTGAGGGACACTGTTGGACACTCACGTGCTTTGGTGGAGGGGTCTGCTGATAAGGTGCTTCATCAGCTTCCGTGACCCCTGCTGGGACTGTTCTCTGGCAGCTTGTTAGATCCTTTACCTCTGTTTGTAAAGTAGAAAGTTAAATGAACTCTAATCCTCCTCATCGACTATGGCTTTTTTTATATGTAACCACCAGTGTAGAGAAATTATCCTGTCTATAGTCTCAAAAAAAAAAAAATCTATGTTCTCCCCCTCCAACAAAATCTGTGTATTTTCAATATATTTTTAGGCCAAAGCCATTATAAAAGAGACTTTTAAGAAATAAAGTTCTTTTAGCTTGTTTGGGTTCTTTGTTAAATTAAAAAAATAATGATGGGGATATAGGTTCTCAGAAACGCCTCATGAGCTACACATCATAGAATATACTTACACAGTGCACCCTGCCAGCGCTGCAGGTTTGTTTACACCAACACGTGAGTAACTGGGTTGCTATGATGTGACAATGGCCATGATGTCACTAGGCAATAGGAACTGTTCAGCTCCATTATAATCTTATGGGGCCATCACTGCATAAATGGTCTGTCATTGACGTCCTTACGTGGCACATGGCCATATATATCCATATAGATACAGATGCACATATGGTTTAAAACTGTATCCTTTATTGCAAAATACTGCTGTAAAACTTTTTAGGATCTAATGTTAAAAAAACAACTATGTGGTTACGTCAAGAACCTAAGCCACAAAACAGATGAAAACTCCTAAAATTTCAGTATGAAAGATGGAGGTTAGGACCTCAGTTGTCATTAAGCCTCTCCCCAGAAACCGAAAGGTGTTTACAAGGATATGTAACAACACATGACAAAGTTTAGCAAAAACAAGACAAGGATAGAGCAGAGCCTGGACCCTAAGGCCAAGGGCACACGGCAAATGCCCCCCCTGGAATAAATGGAACACTTCACTTCTGGCGCGTCTCACTAAAGTGATTTTGATTGGCAAATAGTGCGAACTACTTCTCCAAATGGCCAATATTTAAAAAATAAAAAAGGAGAAAGTTACACAATCTGGAATTACATTAAGGGCTCAAGAAGAAAAAAGATTACTCTTGTTAGAAATTTTGTTAAAGTAACTCAACACCTGGGTTTTATTACGATTCACACATTCTACATGTGGTATAATGTCCTAGACTTGCCTCCTTTTAAAAAGTGCACATAAGTTTCATGGGGCTTTTTCTTATAAGAATATTCATTGAGCAAAGACAAGCGTACAAACTGGAGTAATATAAAAGGAAGTGTATATTTTGTGTATATGGTAGTTCTCAGACCCTGTAAACAGTCAACATTATTCCACTTAAAAACTGCTTGTAAAAGCTGTCTACACCATTCTGATTTCTCCAGAAAGCTTGTCTAATCCCTGGTGTTAGTGATAAACACTGGCTAGACGATGAGTGAGCCTCCCGCTCCTAGTTACAAACTGGCCTGGGTGTGGTCTTCCCTGCACTGCTGTCAGCAGCAGGCACTGCCTTGCTAGCCGCCGAAGTAGAACTCATCCCCACATGGTCATCTGTAATGAAAGAATACAAAGACTGAATTTTAAAGTTTTTTAAAAGATCCATTTTGGGACTGATAAAGGGCTGTCAGGAGTGCGGAAAGCACTCACTCCTCTCAGTCTACACCTGAGGCCCTCATTCCTTCTAGAACAGACCCCTGCTCAGAGGACAGCCACGCCCTGGAGAGCACGGGCCCCGTCAGGGAACAGGTCTAGTCCCCAGAGAGGACTAGGTTATGTGCATCGACATTCCGAATCTGCTCCAAACCACCGGCATCCTGCCGTTAGTTCCTCTGTACATGCCTAGTGTTACAAATTTTAATACACAATTCTTTTTGTATTTCCTGGAAAATATTACCACTTCCCTGATGACATACTGAAGACGTTTGCAATATTAAACTAGGTAATATTAACACACAAAACTAAAATTGTTAAAAGCATCTAAGCAATGCTTCAAGGAGCCAAAAAAGGGGTATTCTACATTTCATGTAAAAAACATACACAAAGTCGTAAAGTACATGATTGTCTAAGCACTATGCTGTACACCTGAAACTAATACAAAATAATATTCAATGAAAACTAATTGAAAAATAAAATTAAAAAGAAACATGTCAGAAAGCAAATGCTCTCAGTCAGTCCTTTCCTCTGAAACAAACACCTGAAGGAAAATGCTGACTATTCCTGACTGGTGGTGTTCTTAGTAAGCAGCTGGACATAAATGTTAGTGCGAATTTGCTTTTTAGCCAGGTACCAACCAGCAAAATTTTTAATTGTTTTTTCTTAAGTTAAAAATGAATAGTTTTAAAAATCAGAATAACTAATCTAAAATGTTGATTGTATCACCTGTCTCTAGTTAAGAAAACACCCTCATCTGTTTTCCCCACGTGTACTCTCTGTGTATAACCTCTAAAAATGCGCACTTCCTGTGGTCTGCCCAAACGCGGTTTGCTAGAATACAAGACACTGTCCTATCCACAGTCTCCGCTGCTGGGGCTCTGAACAGCCAGCAAAATGGGTCTCCTAAAGCCTGCGCACTTCGCCTGGTGGGGAAAACAAAGCCACTCTCAAGGGCCATTCATTACACAGGAAGAACTGAGATTACCGACCTAACATGCTGTTAACCTACAGTCCCCGGCAATCTTCAGGCTGTCTTAGCAAAGGGGAGGGTGACAGGGGTGACAAGGAAGCAGCCCCAGTAACAGCTGCGAGGTGAGAGATGCAGGCAGGACATGAAACTACAAAGCCACCTTGGCCTGTGAGCAGCCTGCACAGAGACATGGGAGCTGGTTGTATGGACCCCACGGCCCTATGAAGATGCTGAAGGATATAAGGAGAGTAAACTTGCCTGTAGTGGACTTTCCTTAGAAATGGTTTGTGAATACCGGCCACTTTGGGGACGCCATGAACAATTAAATTATTCTAACTAAAGTAGGTACCACAGGACTTCTATCAGGCAACGCACTTTGGTTACCTGGCTCCCACATATGCCTATAAACAATAAAACTTCTTTTTCAATGTCCCTAATTCCAACTGGCTCCCTCAATTATTCAGAATTAGTGATGCTGCTGTATTTGTTGATCTATGAGATCCTGTTTCAAAATTAATACTTTAAAACTTTGTGGGACATAACATCAAAGAGAATATATAAAACAGATAAAAGAAGTTAAACAGAAATATCGTGAGTTAATTCTGATTGTCAGTAAAAATATTAATGTTTTAAGTTGGTACCTTTGTAGTATCAGAATATCTGTAGCAAACAGTGAAGAGTATACGTTACAAAGTCCCGTTACACAAGGGTGACCTCTGAGTGCTGTCCAAGTCCCAGTTCCTCTAGCAAACGCGGGCCGCCGGCCGGGTCCCTCCCAGCTGCTCCCTCGGCCGTGCTTGCTGGGCTGGGTGTGCTGCCTTCCACGGGGCTGCCTTTGTCATCAGTCCTGACCTGGGCCTCTTCTGCTGCGGGTGGACCTCCCGCAATCCTCGAGATCCCCTGGCCAGAGATGGGCTCAGGAGGCTGGCTGCCCTCTGTGCTGGTTTCTGCCTGTGCGCTTTCTCCCGGGATTCCATCAGTCTCTCTGGGCTAGAAAGTACAGAAGTACACTTTGTTTCACCTGTTTATGTACCATAATGTGAAGGTTTAGTGATCATGCTTATTAAGTTTCTATGCAAATCTGAATTCTCTCAAAGTGCTGGACTGTACGGAATGACATGGAGGAGTGGGGCACTGAGGACGAGCTAGGTGATGAGGAGGACTGGGGACCACTACTGCTAACTTCTCTTGCCAGGTGAGAATAATTCACCTGACAGACATTTACTGAGCATATACTAAGTTCTAGATGCTGGGGATACTGCAGGAACAGACGAGACAAAACCCTGCCCTCACCAGAACTTATATTTAGGTTGCGGAGAGAATCAGGCAGCAAACAAATTAGCAAAGCATCACCCCAGAAGCGGGCCGGTCTGAAAGGGGCTCGGTGAGTAAGGCTTGAAGAAATGAGCCAGATGGCTATGGGGGAATGACTCCAGATCATGGATACTAGCACAAAGGCTCTGAGTTCAAGGACTAGTCAGGAGTGGAGGGAGCGAGGAGGGGACCAGTGCACGAACAGGTGGGGGGTGGGCAGATGGCTGAGGCCCTGGGCAGTGGTGGCAACTCTGGTTAAGGTGTGATGGGAAGTCACAGGAGGATTCTTAAGATGAGTAACAGATAAACATTAACTATGAAAAGAACACCTTCAAGTTTTCTAGATCCATGCAGATATATCTCCTTTATTATAAGGAACTCCAAAGGAAGGGAATCTACAATTTCCTCGGCTCTATTGTGTTCGTGACTATTTTTCAAAGGTTTACACTTGCAACTGCAACTTAAACTTTGCCAATAATAATACAAATTGCTGTCTCAAACAAAAATGGAAATGTCCCTTTAAATGCTCGATAATGGTGGGGAAAGGCCTCACTGTTCTGCAGGAAAGAGCACAGTGTCACCGCCAGTGCTACAGAAGACTGGGAAGGCGAGGCTCTCCATCCCCCGCCCACTCTTCCAGCCAAGACTTGGCCTTCAGTGAGGCTTCCCTGTCTCCAAAGGGAGCCGTGTCAGTCGCGCCCACTGGCTGGTCTCCTATGAAATTTCATAGGAATTTCCAACTGTGCTAACAAACTTGTTAAAGAGTGCTTCACATAAAAAATCAAGCTCCTTTCTTCTAAGGAGGCTGCCCTAACGTTTGAGCAGAGAGTGGGAAAGAGAATGAGTAATTACAGTGCAGGTCAGAGTTACCCACGAGTCCTACAGGAAGCACTGAGGCCAAAGCAAAGGGACAGAGAACGAACCGCCGCTGACTTACACTGGGCACCACCTCAGGATGCTCTTGCACCGCTGTGTCTGGTCTATCAACTGCCCGGAGCACTTCGGGGCTCTTGTGGCCAGTCTGAGATCTCGAGTCAACAACTTTCTGTCTCAAAACATCTCTTCTACTTTCATACGGTCTGTCATAAGGGCCTTGATCGTGGGGGCCAATTTGGCCCCTATAATAAATGTCTGCATCACCTGCTCCACCATGGGGTCTATAATAAATTTCCCGCTGCTGGCGCTTGTCACCTGGCAGAGCCGCGGGTGGTTCTTCTCCCGGACCACCTAAAGGCCTCAGCATGTGAACTGATTTTCCAGCACCATAGCAGAAACCCTAGAAGGAAAAGACATACGCATCCCTGAGTACATGGCTGGCTTACAACAAAATTAGGAGGGGCTTTTCATTCAGGGTGCTGACAAAATTATGTCATTTACTTTGTGGCATTTATAGACATAAACATGTTAAATTTTTTCATTAGCGGTCTCTTCTTTCATACAGGGCCAGAGTAGACAATAAAAACTGAGAAATCACTCAGTTATATTAAGTAAACATTTCAACCAGCTGGACATATTCTGACTGAATTATAACAATGGCAGTTAGGCTAAAGCCTTGAAAGTTCCACTGGAAGGTACTGACCGATAGCCACACAGATGTTGTCCACATTCACACCCATCCTTTAGATGGTAAATGCTGAAAATTTTTCAGTTGCACATCATGTAAACATTCTCTGGTAGGTTGTTTTTTGGTTTTTGGGGGTTTTTTACCAATACAAATTTGGTTTGGCTAAAGCTACAATTCAACAGGCTTTGAGTCCTAGTCCGTGGGAAACACTAGGCAGCACTTCTCAGTGCGTGCCCACGGAGCGCTGGGAGGACCCTGAGGCTCACAGTGCAAACAGTCTCTCCTTGCTGACCATTTCGAGCCAGAACTTGCCCGTGTGGCCGCCTGCTTTTCCATGCTTGAATACTTGGGACCGGTCAGCAAGGTTAATAAACATCCCCTCCTGAATCCCCAAACTGTCAGTACACCTGCCTCTTCCACACCTTTCTGAGGCTATTAAACCTGAAGCTCTTCCCTTCCCAGCGTTGAAGAACTCAGACCACAGCAAGGAGGCCCACCTTCTCGAAGAGGACAACAGCCGACCGTGTGTGTATTAATTCACCACGAGCAAAGAACCAACTGAAAGGAAGGTCTTATTTTAAATCACTGCCATTGCATCTACAATCCAACTTGAGCACCACGTCCTTGCTTAGAGGAACATACGTGGAAGTATGAATAAAGCTGTGCACCTAAAAATTATCTTGTCGCACCATTAGGCGTGACTCAGCCTGATGATTCAGTCCTGCCCTTGTTTGTAAACCCCGAGCTGTCGGCGGTGCTCTGTACTAACCAGGACGGCCAGTGCCATGATGATAAGCACTGGGAGGTGGAGTATCGCTGGGATCTCCTTCAAGAGCGCTCTAATAAATTCACCAATTCCTTTGCCGATGTACTTCAAAGGCTCCGTGATAAAGTTGGTGAACGTCACTGCCAGGGCCTAAAAAAGGTAAAAGCAACTTCATTTTTTTCCTCAAAGGATTGAGGCTCATAGAATGAGCCAAAATTCACAGGGCACTGAGGCCAAGTTACATTACATAGATCAAAATGCTGTTATGTGTTTTAAAAAAGTGAAAAATCACCATGTAATGGAAGTCTATTTTTTCTGAAACAAAGGTTATTAGCAAAATGACTAAAATATACTAACAATTTTAGCCCTAGCCAGGCGGCTCAGCTGTTAACAGTGTTGTCCCCGATATGCCAAGGTTGCAAGTTCAATCCCCAATCAGGATATATACAGAATCAATCAATGAGGCATAAATAAGTGGGACAACAAATTGATGTTTCCCTTTCTCTCTCAAATCAATAAATAAAAACACTAACAATTTTTAATATATGCAAGGGTTTTTTGACTTTGTATAAGTAGTTTTTATAAAATATATTTCGTACCTTTGTTGGTGGGACCAACAAAATAGGGTTGACTAGTAACAGCTCATAGTATTTTTGGCATGGGTCATCCTTATAGGTCCATGAAGTTCTAAACCACTCTATTTAGAGAAACAGACAAAACACTGAGTCATTTTAAAAAAGTGCATTTCATTCCCAAATAAGACAATATTTTGGTTTTACCTCACCACCACCACCAGGCTACTTTAAATTATTTTACAAAATAGACCCCCTGTAATGCCAATTTAAAAAATTTTTCATCTTATGTCCAAAATGCTCATTTTAAAAATCCATTCAAATTCTACAAGTCTTATGCAGATAAAATATAGAGATTTCTAAAAGGTAACTATTTGAAAAGTGGGAAACTGAATAAGACTGTTGGATTCCATCAGTCACTGTCCTGGCTGTGACACTGGACTAGTACAGGTGTGCAAGATGTCACCACTGGGGAAAGGGCTCACAGGATCTCTCTGTATTATTTCTTACAACTACCTGTGAAATTACAATAATCTCAATTAAATCTCAATTTAAAAGTCAGTTCTTTCCTCATTTTATGAAATAAAGTAGAACATTAGTCCTCCCAGTTTTTCTAAATCAGGCTTACAAAATGTACTAGCCTGAGGCAGAGGAGGCATTCAGTTGTCCCTGAAGCCAGGAAGCAAGGCTGGGTTGGTTTAGTTCCCATAACTTTTTAAATAACATTAATTCTGGACACCTGACTATAGAATCTGCTGAGATCCTGTTGTGGATTAGGCATCAGGGACTTGAATTTATTTACAAAGTGTCCCTGAACATTAAACCATTCCCACCACTAGGTATACATAACTAAACACAGTCAACATTACTGAGAATGTTTATAAAAATCTGTGAGGAAGTAATTTCCCCCTTAGTAAAAAAATAAAATAGTAAATCTAAAATATAACATTTTATAAATCAATATAAGGAGAGTAAGTCTAAATGGATATTCATTCATATATATAGATTCACTCCTTTAATAAACTTATGTTGAGGACCCAGAACAAGCTACACACAGTGCTGATGGACAGAGTGGGCACAGCACCCTTCAGTCTAATGGAGGAAGACAGAGCATATCAGAGTCAGCGAACATACAGTTTCTAGTCTTTCCCTGTGACATCACACGAGCACAAAACTCATTGGTCGGAAACCTAAGACTCTTATTTAATAGGAAAAAATTTAAATGCTCCTTATTAGCTTGGCTTTATAAATCAAAACCCTGGCAAATATTTTTAAAATTTTCTCATATTATTTAAGATAAATATAAATACATGTTTATTCAACAACTCTAAAAGCCCCTTTTCATTTACCTTCCCCCCTCCTCTGCTTTCTTCCCCTCTCAATCCAAAAAATGAAATAAGGGAAATATAGTAAAAGCATATAGTAATTTAATATAATTAAAATGCACAAATACAGGGGTGGGCAAAAGTAGGTCTACAGTTGTGATTACATGAAGCAGAGTTTATTCTTGTATTATTTATTCTTGTATTATTTATTTGTATTACAACTGTTTTTGCCCACCCCTGCATATCAAGGACCAGCAGAGAATGGATGCCCCAAGTATAATAGTGAGAATTAAATTTATGTATCATCCACAAATACAGCCAATGTTTTTAGATAATTTGGGATATTCTATAGGAATAATTCCAGATGCCATTCTGATAAACTGTGGGAAATGTGTATAATTGCATTTTTACATCTCCATGTAATCATACTGATAGAGAAAAATGACACTGTAATCATACTGATAAATTGAGAAAAATTACACCCAAAAACATATCATCCAATTTATTATGCACATACGGCACAGAAGTCAGAAATCTGGGTTAATTTTAAGTATTCTTACTGATTCAAGCTATTAATTTTAAGACAATTTAATTTACTTCTCTCTACCATCTATGCTTGAAAATGATCAGGCACCGCCATAATAAAGGCCCTTTGCCCTGTACTGGAGGGCAGTCAAGAGTTAAGGGGGTCAAATATATGGTGACGACTTGCCTTTAGGTGGCAAACACAGTGCAATCTATAGATGATGTCTCAGAATTGTACACTTGAAGCCTATATTCTATTAACCAATGTCATCCAATAAATTTAATTAAAAATAAAGTCAGAACAAAGAATTAAAAGAGACAGTGAAAAAGTAATTATATGCATGGTTTGGGGACGGTGCTGAATCGGGAAACGCAGAGCAGACGTCTGTGCGAGGCTGAGGGAGAGTCTCTCCTGGGCTTTCCCTAGATCTACCTTTGAAAGCCAAGAGTCTTCTTGCCTGCTCTTCTGATATAAAAGATTCGGTCATGAAAAGCCTCCTCTGGCATTTTATCACTTCTCTGTAATTTTTCATAAGTCTCCTCATTCTCAGAAATTCTACTCCAAATCAGGCCAAGCGAACCTGCAGCGCCTTACCCCAGAGACTCCCGCTCCAGTCCATCTTCTCCACGCACACCTTGTCCAGCGGCTCCATCTTGGCGACTTTGGCCTGATGCTGGGCAAAAGCCACCTGACCAACACCCAAGAGAAGCATGAGCGCTGCTAACAACGGTTCCGCCTCCACCCCGCCAACATCACAGCCAGATAGCAGGGTTTAAAAGATTTTAATAGGAGAAAATACATTATTTCTAAAGAGTAGCTCTATTCAGCTCATGGCAAAGCATAGTCTTAATGCATCAAGTACAGATAAAGAACTGATTACACTGCCTTCTTTGTAAGTAATTACGATGAAGGAGAGCCTGGTCACTAAATAGTTTTCAAAGATCAGTTCAAATATGATTCTTACCATGCCCCAAACTATAACTATATAATAAATGGCTACTTCTCATTTCATGATAAAATGGTGTTTTGCTTTGGATGGTTTCTAGCACAAATGGCCTATAAAAAGATAATATATCTTTATAAATTAAAGCCCCAGGGAAATCAGTGAGAACAATATTCACCAAACAACCTCCCTTTCTTTAATTTATAAATAATTACAAGTTCTAGAAGCTATGGAACTTGGAACAAAAGGCTTAAAAAAAAAAAAAGAGTCATAATGGTTTAACCAGATGAATTCATTGAAAATACCTGGCTATTTGACTCCCCCTGTTAGAAAGATCTGAAAATTTCCTGCAATGACCATGCTGTTTTGACAAGAACAGTAGTGCTTCTTTTAAATTTCTATATACAGCATGATCCTAATTTTGAAAGAATTAAAATTTACAAAAAAGATTGTAAAGTAATACCTCCAAATACTGACGGTGATTATCTCTAGGTGACAAAATTATAGGTCATATTTAAAAATTAAATTTCTCTGTATTTGTCTTTTCTAAATTCTCTACCATAAACATACCATGTTTACATTTAGGAAAAAACCTATCTTTTAAAAACTAGTATTTTGATATCATTTCTAGCAAACAATAAAAGAATATATCCCAAATCACTAAAAAATGTTTAAAATAGGTCCGCCTCACTCTATTCTGATTTAGCTGTTCAGATGTTACCCAGCAGAAACTAGATTATGAAAATCAGAACTGAACTTTGCCCCCCACCAACTAGTCAAGGACCCCAAAACCAGGTACAGCCAAGCACTTGCCAATTACACACCCCCATCTCCAACCCCTGCCTCCAATCCTCATCAGAGGCAAGGTTCTATACTAGCTCTAAATGGATTATCTCTTCTCTTATGAAATAACATTTAAAAATTTTAAAACTTTCCACCTAAATAATACCTTGTATAAATACATCCAATTCCATCCCAAACTGATGAGGAAACTGATCAGTAAAACACGTTTCAACTGGGTGTACCAACGAACATAGGTCCAGAGCTGGGTAGCTATTAACATCACGATGCAGAGCAGACACAGAAGCACCTCGAAAACAGAAAAGAGAGCGAGCAGAGTCACTGCAGAGCCGTCCTCCCACCAAAACGGTAATGGTCAACACAAACAAAAGAACTGGCCTCAAATATGCAAAATCGTTTGTACCATTTTGCTGAAAGTTCAGCGGCACGGTATGAGTGCCTTAGTGCAAGTTCTTAACTGTGCTGGAGTTTTAATAGCATTTTTTTTAAAAACCTGTTAATCATGCACCCCTCATCCCAGCTTACCATAAACACATCATATGGATCCACACCAAAGGAATCTTCAAACTGCCACTTCCACTTTTCAAAATCATGTAACTTAAAATTAATTAAAATATCACTTAGTGCTTCATCCAAGGCGCCGGGCGTCCAGTCTTCTCCACTGAGAAACTTTTGTATTTCTATCAAGGTTTGACTCTTAAGGATAATCTCGGCATCAAAATGGACATCGCCTTTGTTTTCTTCAAGCTGAATTAAATTAGCCAAAAAACAAATAGAAGCATTTTATTATATTACTCAGTGAAATGTTTCAAGACAAATGCCCTTTTGGAACTAAACATATAACTAGTTCACAGTATTTCACACATAAAATAACTAACCTCATCCACCTGTCTCTCAGGTTGCATGAAGACCAAAGAGAATACATGTGAAAAACATTTCAAAAATTGTAACACTCTACGCAAATAATGCGCATTTCACCAAAATACAGTTAGTTCTTGCTATTCGCAGTAGTTATAATCTATAAAGTCACCTCAAACACTAATTAGCAAATACTGAACCTCCGCTCCCACAGGAAATACAGGGAGAGGTTCCTGTGAACACGCTGCCGCCAGCCGCCAGTCAGTCCGTACCCTTTGCAATGAGTCTCTCTAGGGACACTTATTTAGTATACGCGGCTGACTCACTGACGACGAGCTCCCGCCGGCAGCTCTGTATGGAACTCAAGTCTGAACTACTCTGCTCTAGCACACGCACCTTCTCTCAGGCACCTCACAGCCTTCCTGTGCCTGGGGCACTAGACAGCACTGCACTGGGGAGCTACTTAAAAGTGAAATACCCCCCCACACACGTGTGAAAATGTAGCACTAAATAGACCACGAAGAAGTACATGTTTATAGTCTGAGAGCTGAAACAGGACAGCCAGCTGGCCTTGCTGGACCTCAGCTGGGAACCAGCACATCAGGCAGCTAAAATGTTTGGCCACTCTGCACATGTCCAACAGTGACCACAAAGGACCAGGAGCACTGACTTCAGAGTCACAAATAAGGTTTAGTGATTAGGCAGATTGGCAAATACAGAATCCACAATAATGACGATCCACTATCTTATGGTTCAGTTTACGGTTTTCCATTTGCAGGCAGTTTTCAGAGAGCCTAAAATTTGCAGTGATACAAATTAGAAAAACAAAAGGGATCTCAAAAAGCAAAATATCTGAGTTCCTATGAACACACATTATATATGTATATAACTACCTTTATTAGTGCGAGCTCAGGTTAGCAAAATCATGGTAAACATTAACTAGTTAATACAAATAAGAAAAAATTCTTTTTTATTTTACAAGCACAAATATGTATATTAAAAAGTAACATTAAATGAGAAAAACCAGTGTCATGTCAAATCACAAATTATCACTAAGCATAAAAAAAAGCAGTCATCGATTAATATTTTTTAAAAACCAGGAACTATGTAAATCTTTCCAAACACCTCCATCTTGGGTATTCTCTGGCTATTTCCTTGTCTCTTAAGCAGGCTCTCTTCCACCTTGCACACACTCACAAGGCATGCGTTACAGGGTGCGCATGAGAACATATGCTCTTACGCTTCCAAAGTAAGGTGGGGCTGTTTAATTATGCAGCCAATGTTCCTTTCCCTTGTTTTCTTGCTATTCTGACTGCCCAAATGAAAACAATGACTATAAAAATGGCATCTTAACGTTAATTATGAACAAGATGCACACAATATCCAATTCTATACAAGCAGCACCTGCCACAGCAATCAGCTGGGGGCAACTACTTAAAGCACATTTCCTGCTCCTCGGTGTGCAGTGACCTCCCATCACCTGGGTGTGGAAGGAGGAACAACGGGGCTGGCAAATTTCCTCACCAAGTCAGGCGTGCACTGAGTTTCCAACGGTGCGGTGTAGTTCAAATAGCAAATTTAAAACAACATCACCCCCAACTCAAGTAAGTGATTCAGCAGTCACAGGGTTGAGTAAGTAAACCCCCGAAATGGAAGGAAAAGAGGAGTGGCTGGCACTGCCTTCCACTGAACCTCTGCAAAGCAGGCTGCTACCCTGGATCCTGTACCAATAGGTTCTGGTACAAGGGACAGGCAGGTACTCTGTTAAAGCACACCGATGCTCTATCACTGCTTTACACAATTTGAAATTAATAGTGAAAATATCCACTACACTGATCAGTATCACACCACCAATACTCACAAGTCCAAGCTTTCTGGCTTCAATTAAAATTTTACTTAAGTATCTCCTAAAAACAGGATTGTTTTGACTTTCACAGTCTTTCCTTCTTTTGTTTTCACAGTCTCCAATCTGTAATCACACACATAAAAAAAGTTAGCATTAAATTTAATGTAAGGGTCGAGTTTCTAGCCTAGTGGCCCCAGCATGACCAAAGTAAGGTGCTGGTTATTTTTTTAATTAAAATTTTTTTTTTTGCTTTTTCGAGAGAGAGAAAGGGAGAGGGAGAGAGCGCGAAACATCAATGAGAGTGAAAAACATGGACTGGCTGCCTCCTGCACGCCCCCTACCAGAGATCAAGCCCAAAATCGGGCATGTGCCCTGACAGGGAATCGAACCAGCAAACTTTCCATGCACAGGACAACACCCAACCAAGCCACACTGGCCAGGGCAGGCACTGGTTTGTTGTTTTTTTAATATATCTTTATTGATTTCAGAGAAAGGAAGGGAGAGGGAGAGAAAGATAGAAACATCAATGATGAGAGTCATTGATCAGCTACCTCCTGCACGCCCCTGGCCAGAGATCGAGCCCACAACCCGGGCATGTGCCCTGACAGGACCTGAACTACTATCTCCTGGATCCTAGGTCGACGCTCAACCGCTGAGCCACGCCCGGCCGGGCAGCCTGGTTATTTTTATCAAGCTTGCATTAAAATGTAGAGCTTGCCTGCTGTCTGTGGGCTCTCTCTTTGCCAAGGCCAAGTAGGCAACAAATGAGGAACATGAGTGCAGCACTTGGCCATGACTGGCAGTTTTTCTGCTGACTTGTAGCTATTTTAAAGCTGAAGACTGTAAAGCAAGGGGGCAGCGATAAGCAGAACATCTGGGCCAATCCATCTCTTCGTAAGGGCAGACCG